CCTCCGGTCTTATCCCTTTATGACCGTTTTCCACACTGATGCTAAAAATTGTCTTCCCCAAATGCAAATCTCACTATTCACTTGCTCAGAACTCTTCCGTGTGTTCCTCTTGCCCTCTTAATGTAATATATCTTACAGCAACCTTTATGGTTTGGCTGCTACTCATTTCTCATCTGCTTCACTTAGCAAAACTACATCCCCTGTGTTTCAGACACACTCAAATATCCACTTCAGCTAATATACCATGTTTGTCCTGTTCACCGGCTCTTGTTCTAAACTATTCTCTCAAAATATCTTTTAGGTCCCTTTTTAATACTATCTGTAATCCCCATCAAACTTCTCCAACTTCATCTGAATAACCCTCCTAATATTTTAGATTGTCAATGAAACAAAGTGCAGGATTCCTTGTGTATAATGTAGATTATTATTCCTCATAGACTTTTTGTTCTATCTGTTCCCCTACTTCTGGAATTCCCCAAAGGCAATTAGATATTTACCATATTTTTCCTTAATAGACCTAAGTAGACCCATAGAATTCTGCAGTTTGTTCTTAAGATATATTACAACTGACTATCAGTGTTACGCCCACACTAGTCACCTAACTCCATGAATGCAAAGACTCTGGGGATCCTGCTACTGCTGGATCCCCAGAGTCTGTAACAGTAGACCCTATGGGTCTACCTATGGGGTCTGCTATTAAGAGGCCTACGATAAATATGTGTTGAGTGAACATTAAATGAAATAGGGAGGGGGTTTTGACATTCTCCAAGTCCTGTGGAAGAGATATCCACTTGTTTTAAAGAAAGGAGGTAGAGAAATAGCTTATGAAACCTTTCTCTTTTCTCTCTCTTAGTGTACTGTGCAGTAGCATCACATCAGGATAGTCACAGCTCCTGTTGGCCCCATCCCTGGAGGCTCCATCCAAAGTGAACATTTTCTTGGCCTTCCAGTTAAAAGAAGTACAACCTATTGCTTAAGGAAGTATATTCCAGGACGAATTTAGTTCACATTGTGTCAAATACCAAATTTAAATCTAACTTAGGAAAACATACTATGAAAACAGCATAAAAGTCATCATTGTCCATTTTCAGATAGTTGCAATATCCTCTCAGATATTTGTTGTCTTCTTTCTGCCTGGTCACCAAACTTAGGTGTTCCTTGGAGAGCACCCATTCATAGCAGAGGCTGTCCTTGGTCACCATGCTCTGTTTCATATTTTCCACACATCCCTATATACACATATGAGTGACAAGTCTATATCTTCAGCCCTACATTTTGGCCCCAGTACCTCTGGATATCTCAGATCAAATGCCTATAGACAGATCCATAACAATATATCTTCAAGGAACTTGTCTCTAGCAGTGAATCTCCTGCTTTTCCTTCTGAAGTCTATCCCTACTCCCAGGCCCAAGTCCTGGGAGGCACTCTTGGCAACTGCCTTCCCTCCCCTGCTAGAAGTGATCATTTACACAGCAGCCATATCTTACAGAGGTTTTGGTGTTTTTCTGCTTCCTTGGATATGGAATTTTCCACCCACAATTGGATCTTTATCATTTTTTTTTGCCTTAATAGACCTAAATAGACCCTTAGAATTTTTGTCTTAAATTCTGAAACAGCTAATTGGTCTCTCCATTTTTAGGTTTGTCCATTTCCTGTGTTTTCTACCATTTTCCTCACATCTGCCAGACCCATCTAAACCTAACTCTTCACCTGACAGCTTCACTCTACTCTCCCCTGCTGAAAATCTTCAGTGGCTCTCTTCCATGGCTCTCATCCTTGGTTATTCACCAGAACTTTTCAGTCAATACGGAAATACTTAATGGGGGGAGTAAATAGGATCAAAGCATATTATTTGCATGTCTGAGTATGCCACAATGAAGCCCATTATTCTGTATAGTTAAAATCCACTAATAAAAATAACATTACCAATTGACATCCAATTCAGTCCAACTGAATCCTAATCTCAGAGCCAGGGGGCCTGAGCGTCTGCAACTCTGATGAACATTCAGAGCTAAAGACCACAGGATGACTTGTGATTTTTCCCCAAGAAGTCCCTGTCCAATCCTATTTCTCACCAACTACCATATCGTATGACACTCTGTGTGCTCCCATGACGAACACCAGGCACTCATTCCGTGCACACTCTCCCACTCAGATTTCCAGTGTTCCTCTGTTCTTCCATTCAGGCTGTCCTACCTGCCTTTTGACTCCACCTAAACTTTACAGAATCAGCTGAGGCATCATCTCTTCCAAGGAGCCTCTCTGAATTCTTATCCTCTCCACAACTCCCCTCTTCCAGGTTCAGATACCAGATAGGTTCACAACTGCTCTTCGGTTTTTCCATAGCAACCCAGCCTCTATCACTGCCTGGTAAATCATATATTCATATGGGTGCTTCCCCCTCTAGACTGTGATACTCTTGAAGACAAGGGTCTGGCCTCCGTGTCCAGAAGGTCAGAGGCTATCATGGTTGAGTCAGGCACATGCAAAGGCTATGGTATGACATAAAGCCCAGAGCCATCTGTTCACAGTAGTGATTTTGGGTGGGAAATCTGAAGATTATCTCAAAAAGCCCTTTGGGGGGCTGTGAGGGTTCAAGCCCTTCTATTGCTATATCTCTGGAGCTGTTTGGGGTTTTTTTTGTTGTTGTTTGTTGTTTGTTTGTTTTTTTAAAACTATACAAGTAATGGAAGCCAAGTTTCATGTCAAGGAACACAGGTTCAATGTGTGATATTTGGAACTAAAGATTAGAAAGCAACCTCAGACGTACTCTGATTTAGGATCTAACTGTTCACTTGGTCTTGGCTTCTGAAAGTGGTTAAGGGTATGGATGAAGATTAGAGGACAGATATTATAATGTAAAGAGTGTGTGTGTGTGTGTGTGTGTGTGTGTGTGTGTGTGTGTTAGAGAGAGATTCCTAGTTAGTATAGATAATGAAGAGTCTCCCTTTCACCACATTTTAGTGCCCTCTGAGCCCTTTTCTCTACTAGGCCTCATGTCTCTGACTGTAAAACCTGCCTACTGTCCACACAAGTGAATTCATCCACCCCTGCCCCTCAAGTCTTGAACAAATAAATACGAATCTAGGTTATAGCAGCATGAGGTTGCATCCCCAGGGATGAATGAGTTCAAGTCTGTTACATTTCTGCCTAAGAAAGCTCAAGGATGCCAACAAAATGTACTGTTCTTTCCAGCAGGCATGTCTCCCAGTCCCTGAGGGAGAATGGAAATTGATCTTCGATCACCACTAATGAGCCACCTAGGTAAATTCCACATGAACTAAACCCCTTTGCCTTTGCACACTTTTTATAAATATCCACTTCCCTGTTTCTGCTCAAATCCCCAATATTCCCCCTCTCTACTCCCTCATTCTTACCTTAAAAGGCTTACTATTACTCTGCACAAATTGAAGTTGAGTTCAGCTCACACTGGACCATCTTCCCTATTACAATAGTTGGTTCCTGATTAGGATCTGTCCTTATGGCTTTAATTAGGGTCTGGTTTTGTTTCTCTTTGACAGCATCCTTGGCAATATATATTCTATCATCTGACATCCTGGTGGATCTGATTCTTGAAGTTCATGTGGCACTTAATGGAATGAGAATCTTCAGAAAAAGGTCCATGGACAAGAGGAGGATCAAACCCACCATGTGATTGTTGGAGAAAAATACCTTAAACAAAGGTATTAGGGATGACATGTTTTAACAGAAGAGTACTTCTTAATGGGGGGAGGGAGTGGATAGGGTCAAAGTATATTATTTGCATGTAAGAATATGCCACAATGAAGCCCGATATTCTGTATAGTTAAAATCCACTAATAAAAATAATATTTCCAATGAACATAGTCCCTCAATTGAACATTTTTGAAGAAATATTCTTCACAGTAAGAATTTTTAAATAAAGAGGTTCTGATCCCTTAAACACATATTGCCTTCCCATTTTTCTGCTCAAAAATTTACTGTTGTCTAAGTTTTACATTTGTTTCTACTTAAAAAAAAAAACTTTCAGGGAAATTGGTCTCTTGAGTTTCTATACACAAGAAAAAGTTAATATAAGAAAATTTATTGTATTATTTGTAATAGATGTTATTTATATTTAGGAATATGACTCAATTCATACAATCAGAATTCTCTTTTTTTAAATTCATTAGCCATGTTCTGGCCTTTAACATTTGATAGCTATTCAGATAGTTTTATAACAATACAACCTTATTGCCTTAATGGTCCAGAAAGCAAATTTGGTTTGAGACAAGTAAGATAAAACAGACAGTAGACATACTTAATTAATTTACTTAGATCCATTCATTCAGCATCAATGCATATCACATTCCAAAAGCAAGTATACAAATTTAAAATGAATAGTAATTCAATAATAATAATTCAAAATTGCAAAAATTCTCAAACAATTTTCATTGCATGTGCCTTGATAGCATGCATTTCATTCCGTATTGATTTGCTTTATTGAGTTAACATCAATTATTTGTTCTGATGGGAAAATAAAAATGGAAGGAGCAGTAGTGGGGAATGCACCTCTTATACTGCCGAGCTCAACACGTACAGCCGGTGATGACACCAGCTACCTCCCCACAGATCTAAATAACACATCTTGGCACATATGGGTAAGTACAATTTTTATTAATCTAAAAAATGAAAAGATATTATAAAAATAGAAGAAGTAGAAAACCTTAGACAAGTTAAAATACAGAAAAATTTTAAGCAAAGTTATTTGAATCAGGCAATATTTAATATATCAAATATTAATAACTATGTATAAAGTAATCTAAACCCAGGACACTAACCATGTCAACAGGTAGCAGGTATCCTGACCACCCCCAGATTCCTTTGCAGGGATTAGTGTTCTCTGATTACACACATGGGCACCCCCTGGTTATAATAGTATTGTTTATTATTGATATTATAAAAATAACCATTCTGTAAATGATTACACATAATAAATAAAATTGGGACTATACATAAGAATTTGAATAATTAGAATTTCTTTAAGGACCACTTGTAACTTCTTCTGCTTGTTTCACAGACCTGTAGAGGAGAAATGAAATTAAAAAGAATGTATTTAAGACTAAGTCAGTAGTGCAACATATTAAAAAGAAAGCTTGGGATCTTAATGGTTTCCTCTACTCAGTACAAACATTTACAAAGACATTGACATTAGAGTATTACCTCTATTAACCATAATTTTCTTTCAGTATGTAAACTTCTGGTATACGAATATAAAATCCTAATTAGATGAGGGTGGCAAGGGAAAGTATCCATTTCTTTAGAATGTTTGATGCTCTTTTTCTGCTTTGTCATAGTTATGTTTTATATTTCTGATTCACCAATTAGACCTTAAAACATTTATGAAGAAAACTATCAATCTCCAAATTACCCACAAGTCTTGAAAGAATACTTTGCATATGGCAGTTTGTTCAAAAAAATATTATCTAGCAGAGGAGAGTGAGCAAAGTAAGGAAGAAAGGAAAAAGAAAATGGGACTGTTTTTGCATTTTTCCCTATCTGGAATGAATTATTACACCAACCAATCCCACTGAACTCCTTTTATCTGACTCCTTTACCATTACTACTGAAGGTAGAATTCTCTGCTTCATGCACTTATCTCACCCAAATGACTATCACCATAATCATCAGCATTTTGTGTAAATAATTGTTCATTATATGTCTTCTTCACAATTTAATAAATTTCCATGAGAACCACAAAAGGTGCTGTGTCACCCATGATGGTGATGTGCTATTCTCTGGCATGGTGCTGGATGGATGGCAGGCTTTTATTAAATGTAATCACAACAATGATTGACAGTTCTTGGATTGAAGAACAGTGTGCCCATTTATCATACAAAGAACACTTGAAAGACTGAAGAAAGGACCGTATAAAGGTGTACCTACAGTGATGCAAGTATTGTCTACAACCCCAAAAGATAGAACCATGAAGAAGATGGCTATAATGATTCAGATTTTGGAGCAAAATAAGATAGTAATTTATTTTAGAACAATTTGAACATATTTTACAACTTAAGCATTAAAGTTTAATATGAAAATAGTATTAATGATCAAAGGACTATTATCATACCACACCGAGACAACCACAGATGGCATTTTGTCTGTAACCATCCAGACACTAACCTGAATTGTAAATTTATGATGTGTTTGTTTCTATTTACCATGTAGAACCAAAAATGAGTTATATTTAATACTTTGTCTTATGATTTGCCTTTTTAATAAAAAATATTGGGAAAAATTTCCCAATATTTTTATTTAAAAGGCACATATATGTAATATATATGTTAATATCAGATTAAGTATATATATGTATGTATATATCCAACTATTGTATATTTCATCCTTCCTATTGGAACAGAGTTTTCCATCATATAGATTGGTATAATTTTTTCAATCAACTATCTGTTTGTTTTTTTTTTTTTGACTATCAGTTTCCCTTTTTATTTGCTTTTCATGTTTTATTGTGAAATTTTTCCCATGTTTTATAGTAAAACTTTTTTCATGTTTTACTAAAAATTACATGGCAATGAATATACTATGATTCTGAAAGCTAAATCCTGATGCATTGCAGGAATTATTTCTGTAGGTGATTCCTAATACAGACTGAATGGGTTACTGATCATCTAGAGAATAACAAAGATAAATGAGTATTAAGGGAGATAATGAAGTCCCCGTTACTCAAAGGTTCATGTGGAGTCTGGATGACCATTTGGTAGGTGTTCTGAGAGAAGAGACCAGCGTGGGATTAGGAGAGGAGCAGATGATTCGAAAGTTCTTTCCAGCTTTTACATTCTGTGGTCCTATTACATGTGGAGAAGAGACACTGCTGATTTTATATCCAGTTCATAGGTGGCTTCGTGTCCATGGATGTGACACTGCTCTGAGATGCTGTAACTCTAGGAGATACTTAATGGTGACAGAGTTCACAATCTGCACAGTCCAAGGGGTATGTATTTCAGCTCAACTCTATCTAAAATGTATTTTCCTGTTAAGGAGAAGGGATTTAAAATCCCCATCCCATCATCACAGCATAGGAGAATATGGACTAAATGAGGACATGAGACCTACAGAGAGAGAGAGAGAGAGAGAGAGAGAGAGAGAGAGAGAGAGGGAGGGAGGGAGGGAGGAATATTATGCAGGGTCCTTGGCACAAAATCTTTTCCCATTAAGTCAATAGGAGGATGGTTTTTAAAAATACGAACTTTGAGCAGTTGTAGATAGCACCCACAATTACCTGACATTGATATTAAGTGCCCTGAACAAACATACCAGAGTAGACCAGGGTAGGACAAGAAGAGCATGGAACACAAAGAAGATCAGCAGAACCTGCACAATGAAAGAAAAAAAAGTAACATGCCAGACCAGGATAAAATATGTTTCAAACACAATTCCCTGCCAGTTTCACAAATTCCTAGTGATAGCTCATTGAAATTAATATCAGAACTCCCCTTACCATATGCAAGGAACTGCAATTTACAATTAACTCTTTAATAGCATGTATGTTCTCATTCAACAATTCTGTCATTTTCAATTTAAATTTTTATCGATTTTTAAATTAAATATAGAGAGTGTTTTTATTATAGATGTGTACTGTGGGAAGACACCCTCTAATTTGCCTCCATGATTCTGACACCCAGCTTGGGTTTGGCAGGAAAGCCAGGCACCCCAACACAGCTTATTTAATACTGGATGTCTACACATTCCATATTGTGATATCATAAAATTTATAAATTCTACCATTATCATGATGCTATATGATTTACATGAGATAGTGTATATATACACACACATACACCATATTTATAATGCTGTGTGTATAATATTACATGCTAAACTTAATTCCTTTTAATGCAGTCCTGCAGCAGAAGAACATTCAGAAAAGATGGCTACTTTGAAGGAAGCAAAAAGTAGCGCTTAGAGGATAATGTGGCATGAATATTCTAGTTCAAAAGAAGTGTCAAATTAAGGGTAACAGCAGACAAACTAAGAAGATCAAAGAGATAAGCAATTTCAAATGTTCAAAAATTAATTCTAGATACACTAGAACATAGATACTAAAATAGATGGTCTACAAACAAATAGTTAATTAGTCAAAGAATTTTAGACAACAACTTATTACATCTGCTTTTTTGGAGAATCAAACTACACAAAAGTATATTAAAAACTCCTCGAAAGTCCTAGTAATAAAAAAAATCTATTTAACCTGATTGTCACCAAAATTATTTGATTTGGTAAAAGATTTTCATATAAAACTCATTTTCAGAAATTCTGTAAAGCTTCTGTTGGTAATTGCAGCTTCAATTGGAGTAAGATTTGATTTAATCTGTTGTTTCATACTTATCATAATAAAGCTCTTCCTTGGATATTGACTTGGCAGTGAGGGCATCCAGCCTGATAATGAATCCCTGTTTTGAAGTAGGGCTCCCTGCACTGGTGGTAGCCCTTTCCTTCTCACATGCATAAGGATGTAATAAATGAAGCAGCTTTAGAAGGAGATAAACAAGTAAGAGAGTAGTGTCAGGTTTGGAAATACAGATTAGAACACTCAATTTTTTTTCTTAAGGATTATGTTATAGGAACGGTTTCCACTGTTTTTTCTGTGAAAAACAGAAATCAACTATGACAATTAATCACAAATGCGTGTGTAGGGATTGAGGTAAATCCTATGTTAATGCATCACGGTCATTGCCATCCGGATGGAACTACCAGTACTCTAGAGCAATAGCAGGTTAAATATACGACATATCACTGAACATGTCCTGTTTTGTAGTGTGTGTTGGTAAACCCCTTATTATGTGCATGTGTGTATATTTGTAGATGTTATGGCCTCCCTGAGTAATCAGGAGACAAAGATGAAGACTCAGGCTCAACAAATCTGAACTGAATTTAATCATTTATTAAATATTTACTAAGTAAAGAGCCAATGCAAAAATATCTATGAAATAAATATTTGTTAAACACTTACAATGTGAAATAGGAATACTAAAACTGAATTTTTCTTAATAGATTGATTCTTAAATAGTTACAAGMAATGTATAAACTAAAAGCCTTATATAAGTAGTAGAAACATTAATACTCATTTTAAATGTTAACAAATGGGTAATCCTCCATGTCCCAATATGAAGGAGAAAGTCACATGTAATTTATGTTTCAGAATAAAAAGAAAAGCTATGTTTTTGGTCTGAAAAAATGTTTAATTATACTAACGATGATATACAGTTCTGTGATATTTAGTCAACATTTCAAAACAAGTCATTTTGAAGAAACTTGGCAGCGTGCTTTGAACAGTTGTTCTACTTTTAATAGCTTACTATGGGATTGAAAACATGCTTAATGTAATTACTAAACGCTATTTATTTTATTATGTCAAAATTTTAATTTTTATGTTTATCATATATGCCTCCCTTAATTTTCTGGATGACTTTGCTTGTAGATAGTAATTTGGAACACAGTGTAAATATAACTAAATCAAGTTGAAGTTTCTATTAAAAGCAGATTTCCTATCCAAATGTATCACTGCTTCAGTTTCTTTCTATGCTGCTCTTCCTTTTTCTCTTGTTTTGAGTGTTTTCTTTATGATACATACTCTTTCAGTACCCAGTAAAATAATTCCTCCCTTGATGCTACCTATAAACACATCCCTTCCACCCATATATTTTTAGTTTTTAGAGATGTAATAAAATTTCAGAGTAGACCATAGGAACTTATTAGGTAGAATATAAATGGTATCTACTGTGTATTCTTGGGAAAGAATATTTAACAAATCACACTTTATAAAATCAGAGTAATAGTACCTACACCAGGTGCATAACAAAAACATTTAATAAATACCAATCTTCTTCTATTGTCTCCTCCTTTAAATATTCATATAATTTTACAAAAAAATCTTAATTTATGAGACAATGACATTTTAATTCCTAATATATCCTCCAAATAGATTTTGTGGTTTTATTTTAGACTTGGTGACAATTTTCCCAATTTATTACTAAATTAAGCTTCTATTAGAATATATGCTAACTATTCTTTCAGTTAGGAAGATTTATTATGCCATACTTTTGCAGTCCCATGCTTAGACCTTTCATTCTATCTTCATAAGATTTGGGTCTACTTTTTCTTCTATTAGGCTCAGGGTCTCCCGTCTAATGCCTGGAGTTGAGTTTTGTGCAAGGTGAGAGATGGGGTCTAATTTCATTTTGCTATATATGGTTTCCAGTTTTCCCAGCACCATTTGTTGAAGAGGCTATATTTTCTCCAATGTATGTTTTTAGCTCCTTTGTCTAATGTGAGATAACTGTATTTATGTGGGTTTGTCTCTATGTCTTCTATTCTGTACCATTGGTCTATGTACCTACCTGTTTTTGTGCCAAAATCATGCCATTTTTGTTTCTATTGTTCTGTAGTATAGTTGAAGATCCGGTATTATGATGACACCTGTTTCACTTTTCTTGATAAGGATTGCTTTGGTTATTCTGGGTCTCTCACTTTTCCAAGTGAATTTCATGACTGCTTTTTCTATTTCTATGAAGAACAATATTTGGAATTTTAAAATAAATTGCATTGAATGTGTGTAGTGCTTTTGGTAGTATGATCATTTTGACAATATTAATTCTGCCTATCCAAGAACATGGTACATTTTTTCATCCTTTAAGGTCTTGTTCTGTAGTTTTCATTGTAGAGGTCTTTCACCTCTTTTGATAGATTGATTCCTAGTTGTTGTTGTTTATGAGGCTATTGTGAATGAAGTAGTTTTCCTAATTTCTCTTTCATTTGATTTATCACTGATATACAGGAATGCAATGATTTATGGGTATTAATTTTATATCCTGCTACTTTACTGAATTCATATATGAGTTTTTTGGTAAAATTTTTTGGGTCTCCTTAGTATAGAATTATGTTGTCATCAAATAGGGATAGTTTGATTTCTTCTTTTAATTTCAATCTTCTGTCTAATTGCTAAGGCTAGAATTTCAAGCGCAACATTGAATAGAAGTTGTGAAAGTTGTCTTGTTCCAGTTTTTGGGGGGGTGCTTTCAATTTTTCTCCATTTAGAATGATGTCCGCCTTGGGTTTCACATATATTGCTTTTACAATGATGAAATATGTTCCTACTATCCCTATTTTTTCTAGTGTTTTGAACATGAAGAGATGCTATATTTTGTCAGATGCTTTTTCTGAATATATTGAGATAATTATATGATTCTTGTTTTTAAGTCTATTTATGTGATGAATTATGTTTATTGATATCTGTATGTTGAAACAACCTTGTATCTCTGAGATCATGATCTTGATCATGCTATGCTATATTTTAATATGTTTTTTTATGTGATTTGCCAGAATTTTATTGATAATTTTTACATCTATGTTCATCAGGGATATTGGTCTAAAGTTTTTTTTTTTTCCTTAATGTGCCTTTGTCTGATTTTGGGATTACAGTGATACTAGCTTCATACAATGAGTTTGGAAGGGTTTCCTCCTTTTCTATTTCATAGAATAATTTAAGGAATATTGGTGTCAATACTTCTTTGAATATCTGGTAGAACTCTGCTGAGAATCTGTCTGGTCCAATGGTTGGCTTTTGATGGCATCTTCTATTTCATTGCTTGAAATTGATCTATCTAAATTGTGTATGTCCTCCTGATTCAACTTGGGTAAGTCATAAGTCTCTAAAAATTTGTTGATGTTTTCAGGATTTTCTATTTTATTGGAATATAAATTTTCAAAATAGGTCCTGCTTATCATCTGTATTTCAGTAGTATCAAGATATTTCTTTTTTCATCATGAATATTAGTAAATTGAGTTTCCTCTCTCTTTTTCTTCATTAGTATGGCCAAGAGTTTATCAGTTCTGTTTATTTTCTCAAAGAATCAACTTTTTGTTTTGTTGATTTTTTGAATTGTTTCTTTTGTTTCAATTTCATTGATTTCAATTTTGATTTTAATTATTTCCTGTCTTCTACTGTTTTGGGTGTTGATTTGCTCTTTTTCTAGGGCTTTGGGATATAATGTTAGGATATTTATTTGGAGATTTTCTTTCTTTCTTTGGGGGGGGGGATGGAGGGAGGGCACCGGGGTTGAACACAGGGGCACTCAACCACTGAGCCACATCCCTAGCCAAATTTTGTATTTTTATTTAGAGACAGGGTCTCACTGAGTTGCCTTGTCCCTCACCGTTGCTGAGGGACAATGAACTTTCCCCTTAAAGAGCTGTCTTCATAGTATCCCAGAGATTTTGATATGTTGTTTCACTATTGTCATTTACCTCTATTTTTTTTATTTCATCCCCGATCCATTCATCATTCAATAGTGTATTATTTATTCTCCAGGTGT